TGCGTGGATTCATCACTATGAACATTCGGATAAATAGAAAGATGATGATTAAACTAAGAAAAACATTGGTAGAATTTAAAACACGGCAGTTCATTAAAGATCCTCATTAGAGTCAATCTTCTTCCGTTTTGTTGTATTCCTTCATATTATCATTTGTGATCTGACTCAGAATGATTTCAGCCTCCTTGTTAAATTCAATCCTCAGTTCATCAAATACATTAAATGTACTCATGTTTTATCTGAAAATATGATTTGACAGTGAGTGGGATTCTATGATAAGACCGAGTTAGGAGCTTAATATGGGAAGAATGATACTGAAAATGATACACTTGTTTCAGCGCGAGGAAATGAATGCTATATATCATGGAAATTACCATATTGGTTGTTTTTGATGATTTGGAGAAACCGTTATCAGCTGAGACTTATGGAAGAGCATTTAATGGGCATGTGGTTTGACATACAGTATTTATGAAGCTGTAGTTTTCTGAATCATGTGAACATACGCGTTCTTTGAAATGAGGCAAACTTATAAGAGCAAAACTAATTACTAGTAGGTTTTCGTTGGCTAATGTTCAAATGTTAGTTTGTATTCACGAATCCAACTTACGGCTGTCGGCTACCGGATTAACCTACTATTTTATAGGCAACTCATTTAAAAATATGAATAGTCCCTGCCAGTATTCCATTCAAAGAATGGGTATCGATATGGCGAACTTTTTGAACACACGTTTCTCTTAATTATATTGAATGGTAACAATATAATTTGAAAGGGATATACATACTTTCATCTATATTGTTTTAAAAAACACATCAAACACTTGTTTTGTTCTTGGTATCATGTTTCCAGAGTGAAATGAAACATCTTTCCGAACCTCATTGGAACAAAACGACATAAACACAACATGTTTAGGTCTCTCAATATTGTAATTGTACAAAGGAAATTTTGGTTGATTTTAAAAAAGTATCTTGTTAATGAAATAAAAGGTTTTTCTTGATTTTTATCTATTTTGGGGGAATTTTGTTTTAATTTTTTGAATACTTTTTTAAAATCAACCAAAAATTCCTTTGTATAACTTTAATATTGAGAGGTCTAAAAACATGTTGTATATGGTATATTTGTTCCAACAAGGTTCGGAAAGACATTTTATTTCATTCTCAAGAATTGGTGGAAAGGAGCAAAAACAATTGCACTAAAAAACAAAAATGTTAACAGAAACAGTTATATAAAATATTTCTAAATGATTTTCGCATTAAATTGTTGTCAAACAGTCAACATTACATAAAATACCATGTTTTTTACAGAATGTTTTCAATGATTGGTTTAAGAGAAAAATATTGTTGAATTCAGTTCTCCATATCGATACCTATTCTTTAAATGAGTTGGTCATAAAATAGTTTAAAGTAGTTTAATCCGGTAGCCGCTAGTTGCATTCGCGAATACAAGGATTTCGCATCTTTTGAAGAAAGCTTCATTTACAGTAGTACAAGTAATTCACTATGTAATCTATGTTAGATATCATAGTATGCTAGAAAGGGTATTTTCCGACCATCATTTTCATTAATTGAAACTCCGAGAGTGTCAGTGAGTTAGTCATAGATTTGGATTCCGTCTTGTCGCTTTTCTTAATGTGTGTTACGCGGTAAACCCGATACAGATATATGTCATATTCCGCAATGAATATGGCATATTCACTTGCGTTGTATGACAGATTCACCTGGGGTATATGGCATACTCACTAACCAATGAGAACGTGATACGGGCAATAGTCAATTGCATCGATTGAACGAACGGGTAAACGTTTATAAATCAATCAACAGTACAGTGCATTTGGTTGCAATAATTATGCACTTTCGAAAGATTTTACATTTCTAGATATATTTTACTTGATAAAGTAAATCTGCTCCTTCCAATTTAGCTTTTCATCAATTATAAGTTCAAATATTTCACTCGATCTATTTCCGTATTGTCAATTAGTTCTTTATTGGGCGATAAGAAGTTTATTTTGTCTTTGCAATTGAAAGTTAGTTTCTTTACCCTAATTGTTTTTATATTTTTTAATTGCTAAGGCTAATAAACAATTTTTGAACTTATACAGCATACCCAATAATTAGATCACTATAATAGCTTGAGGATTTAAACAACCTTAGGTACAGTGCAGTCAATGTCCTTGGATGGGATGTACATTGGGGATGCATGAGTGGTTAGAGTGTATGTTCAATATTTGCATGAAAAAGTATACTATTGGGGTTCATTTAAAACACTTCATGAATATCAAATCCATTTTCCGTATTTACATTAATCAAAAACAAAATAAACTGCTTTTGAGGTATTAATTACAATTTCCACCCAAAGGTATGTGTGAATAGGATATCTTTGCATACATGTATTTTATATATACTATATCCATTAGAGAATACAAGGTGTCATAGGAAAATACAAAACTCTCATTAACGGTAATGATTCTTGGCGACACGCCACGGTGATTTATCTCTTTCAGTAGCGACAGTAATGACGCAAATAAATGTAATCATATTTACAAATTTCCCAAATGCGAACTAATTGTTAACAGAAAAAATCCGGATCTAGAAAACATTATACATGGTCTCGTCCATTAAAAAAAAGTCAAGGATATTTCAAAAGAAAAGAAACGATATGAGGCTAACTCCAACCTTGCAATTGGACTAGACACGCAGTATAGGAGTTCGACATAGTTCTTCGTCTCTGGAGCTGGGACCTTTGAATTTGGACTATATTTGACCAGGGTCAATTTCCCAGGGTGGGGGAATTGACTAACTAGGTTAGTCCAGGGTAAGGATTTTGACAGCCCAATTTAACAGTCCCTTACTTGAGAAATATATCTTGTTTCCCGATGGATATTTACGTGGAAAGATTGATGTATTTCCTCGAGGGTTAAGTGGGGAATTCTAAAAATGGGTCGTTTTTTCAGGTATTAATCATTTGTTTTTGATCTTCTTAAAGGCCCCATATAAAGTTTTGATCACTTTGGCTTTTATTATAGGCCTAGCCTAAAACTTATTTTCATCGTGAAATCACTAGTCTTTTTAGATGCTTTAAAAGTTTACACATGCATACAATCAAAGATTTAATGGTTGAAATAATATGACTATTGCCTAAATCTGTTAATTGGCACAGAGAAAAAAATGTGTTTGACAGTGTTGTGTTGTATTTGAATATCTAAAAATCTAAATTTTTGTTTTTAAAATGGCGGGAAATTCAAAAATATAAAATGAACGACTTTTTTTAAAGTCTAGCCTGCGTGCAGTCTAGTTATTAACGAAGATGAAGCTCCCTTTTAAGAAGTGAAGTCGAACAAATGCAAAGGGTATTAAAAGTCATATTTTTCAAAAAGTGTCTCAATTGGATTTTCAAGTCATGAAAAGTAATATTTTTATAATTAAACTATATATCAAACTTTTCACGGGGTCTTTAAGGTAGCAGACTGGATGATGACAAGTGACTATTACGGATGAATTAGTAAAATTAACTCTCTTTAGATAGACCAAGCGGAATCCTAGAAAAACCAATGATGCCCCCAAAATATTCTTCTCTGCTTTCCTTCACTATTTTTTTTATTTATTCAAAATACAATAAAAACCTGTGTACATAAAAATTCAAAATCAGGTAAATGGAAGTTCTATAATAACAAGTTTAGTATCACTTTCCTATCAATTTAGCATGGATATATGTGGACTGATATGTTTTTACTATGGTGTCCCATTTAGCTTGATGCATCTGTATCTTTCTTGCATCTTTCCGTACAATATTTTCTTCTATGTTTTTTAGTACTGTTAACCTTATCAATTCTTCAATATTGAGATTATATCCTAAACATTTGGAAACATAAATATATATTTTGCACTAGTATATATGATTTAGTGTTTTATTATCGGGTACTCCAAGAATAATGTCTGTCTTCTGATGGTTACTGTTTACCAGGGCATATTTCTAAAACCTTCACTATTGATCATTTACATTCCTATTAACAGACAAACATATAACACGAAATGACATCATCATCACATTTTATTGTTTGATACGTTTGAAACTCCGGAAATTTTACATTAATCAAAACTTTGTAATAAATGTTTGAATACAATAATTAAAAATAAACATAAAACAGGTTCATACATTGAGATAATCAGTTGACCATAAAACTTTTAACATTGTTAGTATATTTTGACAATCACCTGCTTTGCCAAAACAGAGAATAATATTTATTTTAAAGTTCTATTTGGAATCTTTGATTAATTTTCTTTCAATCAATGTACGTGAGCATCGTTCTTCGATGAAGGGATCTCAAGATGATGGCTTGATACATTGACCCATTCTCGACGAGACTCAGATTCGTGCCACATTGGCGAACATTCGAATTCTAAACTTAAACTTTAAACGGACATTCGAAGCTAAAACGAATGAAGCTGAAGTGATTGATGTATGCTTGCTATTTCCAGCCACTCTTTTTAAGCACTACTTGGAGAGCCAAAACTTCATTTTCTTATTTATTACAATGTCTTAAATGACAACACTTCAAAGCATATCACATCAACATTGTATTCATTCTATGTGATGGACATAGATATAAAATAAAGTTTCTGAGAATATTAAAATTTTGTTAAAGAGACTCTATACCATAATAAGATAGCACAATCAAGACTGTACTGACCCATCTAATTATTTTCGCGGAAATTAATCCAATCTGAAGTTTGAATACACCGGGAAAATCCCCCTGTTATCTGATTGGTTGTTGAATTTTTTATCTTGAACCTGATTGGCTGCCTGGTTCAAGGCGCGTGTGGGCGCTTGTGTGACTCAACGGGGATTCCCATTGGTAGCCAAGAATCGATTATTTTTAAATTTTACTGAAAGTTGGTTGTTCTGTTGATTATTTCAATATTTCGGCAATAATATATACTCATAAGTTATTCTCAAGATATATACATGGTATGTGAGATATTATATGAGCAATAATAATGGGACATCATTGATTGTCTGGGCGAGAAACCTATGGTATACTGCATCTTTAACATATTCCAACTCTCCAAATATTACTCCCCCATCTGATTTACCTCTGTAAGGAAGAAAAATAAAATGGGACATGGCTTACGTTATTAGTTATTACCTTACATGTGATAATTGCTGGACCTTTTGCTCTCTTTATGGAGCTCAAAGTGAGAACCTGACTTCCCTCATTAAATAATATTACATAGACAGAAAACGGGAAAATAACTACATAGTACTATACACAATTAATTTAATTGTGATTTAGTAAGTACGCAGTAATTACATAGCCGTGAAGGTCTCGTCATAAACCATTCTTATACTATGTCCACTCAGTTCTTCTTTGCAAATGGATAGAATTTGCATCGTTTCTTTAATCGGATATCTGCTCATCTCCTTTAATGAGTACATTGTATGATCAGCCCCAATCTCCTCGGGACTCAACTGAACCATACTCAAGACATAGTCAATATCTTGCCTGTCGACAAATTTCTTTCTAGCACCCACCCGAATGTAATTGAACGATAGATTTGACAATATTACACAGTATTTAGATTCATTAATTTTTTATCCATTAGACTGTGAGATATAAATTTGCTCTTGGAATAGAATAATTAATTACATCATTTGACATTTTTCCATGTTTTCTCCTTTTTCATCTCCCATGAGTCGCTACGTAACCTCTCGGTACACCACGTTTATCAATAATTTCATTGCCCACACTCAAGGGATAAAATTCTCTTTTGTATGTTGGTTGTTGAACTTGGTTCCATCTCCATGACGGTGGATATTCCGAGTCCACAGAATATGAACTCCTTTTACCACGCATTGCGTTAAATTTTCTCTTTATGATATTGTCATCATAATCACTTTGATCTCGTGCTGCATAAAATGGGCTTTTTCCAATATAATCCTCGAAATCCTTTTTACCACGTGTAGCGTAGAACTTTCTCTTGCTATATCTGTCATCTTTTTTTCCACGAGTTGCGTAGAATTTTCTCTTTACATAGTCAATTGTGTTCTTTTTACCACGCATCGCGTAGAATTTTCTCTTCATAAGGTCGATCACTTTAGTCCGCAGAAGATCCCTTTTACTGATTTCGTTTTTAGGCATTTCCAACTCATTTTCATAATCATTAGTCTCTGAGGATTCTTCTTGGCTATCAGTGAGAGGTGTGTCCAAGTTATCCTACAAGTATATTAAAGGATAATGCAATGTAATATGTATATATTGAAAGAAAAAATACAAGGGGCAACCTGTTAAAATACATACAAACTGAATCAACTCTAGGATAAACTACACATCGTAACGCCAGAAAATTAAATATACAGGGTGGTCCAAAAATGACGTTTTTTCAGTAACTAATAGACTGAAATTTTTTTTATATGGTCAGTTATGGTATGTAACTGGCCTACTCGGAAATTAGGTCAAATTTTTATCTCGGTCAAAGGTCAAAATCTAGGTCAATTTTTTTTCATTTTCATAAATTTCCATTTTCGATATTTCTTGCAATATATAATTTTTTAAGTTCCTTTAAGTATTTTAAACATTTCGCTCACTATGTCTCGATGGAAATGTTAACAATTTTAAGAAATTTGCTCAGAATTCCGAATCTGAAATCGAAAATGAGATCCGACTTCCGGTTGACCTTCTTTGATCTTTAAAAGTAAAAAAGTGCTATTTCAAAAATCTTTATTTTGACTTTAAAAGAAGTTAATATTAAAGGACCTTAAAAAGGACTCAAAGTTTTGAGTTTCAAAGGTCAAGGCCAAAATCGAGGTCATTTTCGTAATTTTCGAAATTACCACACTACTGTTCATATTTTTAACTTGTGAAGAACAGATCATATACATTTTCTTTCTCATTTTCTCATCAATATCAGATCAAAATTGTTTTTAAATGAAAAACCTGAATCTGGAACCTTGAATTAAACTTGTTCAATTTCACCAATCTAGTTATTTTTGATTTTTCTATAAGTTCAAATTTATGTCAACAGCGGCCATAATACAAATGACGTCATTTTTGTTTCAAAACGGTTTTTCAAAAACTTGTCAACTTCATAAACAGATGTTCAATATATCCATCATTTTGATCAATTGTAGCCCTTATTATTGGCCAAAACTGGTCAATAGCATCATTGATATGATGTTGAGACATCAGTAGAGGCTCTTACTTGAGTACCTTTGCAAGATCGTCCATTCTTGATGAGCTTTGGTAATTCTTTATCAAGTTGAAGACGATATAAAGAAACATTATCAAAGCGATTCCTGGCATGATCTCATTTTCAAACCATTACATTTTCTAAGAAGTCTTTGAAGAAATAAATCAGCCCATGTTCAGAATCATGCTTCAGTACAATTTTGTTGGCAATAGTGGATGGCGGTAATGGCAGTAGTGGATGGCAATAATGGCAGTAATGGCAGTAATGAATGGCAGTAATGGCAGTAGTGGATGGCAATAATGGCAGTAGTGGATGGCAGTAATGGCAGTAGTGGATGGCAGTAATGGCAGTAATGAATGGCAGTAGTGGATGGCAGTAATGGCAGTAGTGGATGGCAGTAATGGCAGTAATGAATGGCAGTAGTGGATGGCAGTAATGGCAGTAGTAAATGGCAGTAATGGCAGTAGTGGATGGCAGTAATGGCAGTAGTGAATGGCAGTAATGGCAGTAATGAATGGCAGTAGTGGATGGCAGTAATGGCAGTAGTGGATGGCAGTAATGGCAGTAGTGGATGGCAGTAATGGCAGTAGTGGATGGCAGTAATGGCAGTAATGAATGGCAGTAGTGGATGGCAGTAATGGCAGTAGTGAATGGCAGTAATGGCAGTAGTGGATGGCAGTAATGGCAGTAGTGAATGGCAGTAATGGCAGTAATGAATGGCAGTAGTGGATGGCAGTAATGGCAGTAGTGGATGGCAGTAATGGCAGTAGTGGATGGCAGTAATGGCAGTAGTGAATGGCAGTAATGGCAGTAATGAATGGCAGTAATGGCAGTAATGAATGGCAGTAGTGGATGGCAGTAATGGCAGTAGTGAATGGCAGTAATGGCAGTAGTGGATGGCAGTAATGGCAGAAGTGAATGGCAGTAATGGCAGTAATGAATGGCAGTAGTGGATGGCAGTAATGGCAGTAGTGGATGGCAGTAGTGGATGGCAGTAATGGCAGTAGTGAATGGCAGTAATGGCAGTAGTGGATGGCAGTAATTGCAGTAGTGAATGGCAGTGATGGCAATAGTGGATGGCGGTAATGGCAGTAGTGGATGGCAATAATGGCAGTAGTGAATGGCAGTAATGGCAGTAGTGAATGACAGCAATGAATGGCAGTAATGGCAGTAGTGAATGGCAGTAATGGCAGTAATGAATGGCAGTAGTGGATGGCAGTAATGGCAGTAGTGGATGGCAGTAATGGCAGTAGTGGATGGCAGTAATGAATGGCAGTAGTGGATGGCAGTAATTGCAGTAGTGAATGGCAGTAACGGCAGTAGTGAATGGCAGTAATGGCAGTAATGAATGGCAGTAGTGGATGGCAGTAATGGCAGTATTGAATGGCAATAATGAATGGCAGTAGTGGATGACAGTAATGGCAGTAGTGAATGGTAGTAATGGCAGTAATGAATGGTAGTAGTGGATGGCAGTAATGGCAGTAGTGGATGGCAGTAATGGCAGTAGTGAATAGCAGTAATGGCAGTAATGGTAGTAGTGGATGGCAGTAGTGAATGACAGTAATGAATGGCAGTAGTGGATGGCAGTAGTGGATGGCAGTAATGGCAGTAGTGGATGGCAGTAATGGCAGTAATGAATGGCAGTAGTGGATGGCAGTAGTGGATGGCAGTAATGGCAGTAGTGAATGGTAGTAATGGCAGTAGTGGATGGCAGTAATGGCAGTAGTGGATGGCAGTAATGGCAGTAGTGAATGGTAGTAATGGCAGTAGTGGATGGCAGTAATGGCAGTAGTGGATGGCAGTAATGGCAGTAGTGAATGGTAGTAATGGCAGTAATAAATGGTAGTAGTGGATGGCAGTAATGGCAGTAGTGGATGGCAGTAATGGCAGTAGTGGATGGCAGTAATGGCAGTAGTGGATGGCAGTAATGGCAGTAATGAATGGCAGTAGTGGATGGCAGTAATGGCAGTAGTGGATGGCAGTAATGGCAGTAGTGGATGGTAGTAATGGCAGTAATGAATGGTAGTAGTGGATGGCAGTAATGGCAGTAGTGGATGGCAGTAATGGCAGTAGTGGGTGGCAGTAATGGCAGTAGTGGATGGCAGTAATGGCAGTAGTGGATGGCAGTAATGGCAGTAGTGGATGGCAGTAATGGTAGTAGTGAATGGTAGTAATGGCAGTAATGAATGGTAGTAGTGGATGGCAGTAATGGCAGTAGTGGATGGCAGTAATGGCAGTAGTGGATGGCAGTAATGGCAGTAATGAATGGCAGTAGTGGATGGCAGTAATTGCAGTAGTGAATGGCAGTAACGGCAGTAGTGAATGGCAGTAATGGCAGTAATGAATGGCAGTAGTGGATGGCAGTAATGGCAGTATTGAATGGCAATAATGAATGGCAGTAGTGGATGACAGTAATGGCAGTAGTGAATGGTAGTAATGGCAGTAATGAATGGTAGTAGTGGATGGCAGTAATGGCAGTAGTGGATGGCAGTAATGGCAGTAGTGAATAGCAGTAATGGCAGTAATGGTAGTAGTGGATGGCAGTAGTGAATGACAGTAATGAATGGCAGTAGTGGATGGCAGTAGTGGATGGCAGTAATGGCAGTAGTGGATGGCAGTAATGGCAGTAATGAATGGCAGTAGTGGATGGCAGTAGTGGATGGCAGTAATGGCAGTAGTGAATGGTAGTAATGGCAGTAGTGGATGGCAGTAATGGCAGTAGTGGATGGCAGTAATGGCAGTAGTGAATGGTAGTAATGGCAGTAGTGGATGGCAGTAATGGCAGTAGTGGATGGCAGTAATGGCAGTAGTGAATGGTAGTAATGGCAGTAATAAATGGTAGTAGTGGATGGCAGTAATGGCAGTAGTGGATGGCAGTAATGGCAGTAGTGGATGGCAGTAATGGCAGTAGTGGATGGCAGTAATGGCAGTAATGAATGGCAGTAGTGGATGGCAGTAATGGCAGTAGTGGATGGCAGTAATGGCAGTAGTGGATGGTAGTAATGGCAGTAATGAATGGTAGTAGTGGATGGCAGTAATGGCAGTAGTGGATGGCAGTAATGGCAGTAGTGGGTGGCAGTAATGGCAGTAGTGGATGGCAGTAATGGCAGTAGTGGATGGCAGTAATGGCAGTAGTGGATGGCAGTAATGGTAGTAGTGAATGGTAGTAATGGCAGTAATGAATGGTAGTAGTGGATGGCAGTAATGGCAGTAGTGGATGGCAGTAATGGCAGTAGTGGATGGCAGTAATGGCAGTAATGAATGGCAGTAGTGGATGGCAGTAATGGCAGTAGTGGATGGCAGTAATGGCAGTAGTGGATGGCAGTAGTGGATGGCAGTAATGGCAGTAGTGGATGGCAGTAATGGCAGTAGTGAATGGTAGTAATGGCAGTAATGAATGGTAGTAGTGGATGGCAGTAATGGCAGTAGTGGATGGCAGTAATGGCAGTAGTGGATGGCAGTAATGGCAGTAATGAATGGCAGTAGTGGATGGCAGTAATGGCAGTAGTGGATGGCAGTAATGGCAGTAGTGGATGGCAGTAATGACGCAATGTTTTTGTACTACACTCAGAAGCTCAACTAATATAACTTTTACCGCATTTTCATGAAGGCTTCTCATAAAAAGAGACGGGATAGTCTAAATTCATGCACCTCCTTTTTTATTTAAGTGGTTTAGTTTGATTTTTCATCGTAAAATCTGGACTGTTCATTTATGATTAAACATTTTTAGAGATGCAACACTGTAACTGATTATTATGACTTTAATTCATACATGGGCTCTCTTGAAAGCCCATGGTTCATAGACGTTTAGGTTGTTTGATTTTAATAAATGTTATAACATTGATTAATTAATGGTATTTTAATTTCTTAATGCACCTTTGAGAATATTAACATTGTATTTCGAAAATCAATTGCTTTTTGTAAATTATATTTAATTATCCAAATCAATTTCCGTACTGTTTTATTGCTGTAATAAAGATAAAATAACAGGAAGTCCTACTATACAACGGATTGTCCAGTCGATGGCACCATTATGTAGCATTTTTTACTCTACTTGTAAGATATGTTTTAACTAAACTTATCTGGATGATATTATGATATAATACATACAGTTGTGTAATCATTTGAGAGTGAAGACCCCTGCAGTGAAGAACTGTCTCGTGAAGATCCCATCAACTCCGCACTAACACAAGTCGTACATAATAGCAGGAAGACGGCCTTAATGGAACCCCTGGAGATCATCTTGACTTCTGAAATAGCAAGATGAAAAAATAACAATATTGAGGGTCGGTAAGAATCATTTCATCATTTCGTCCCTATCCTTGCACGTTAAGGCTAGGATGAAGGTTAAGGTTTAAGGTAGGCCTAGCGATGATGATTTTTGAACCTATATGTGCCCATATCGAGGTAAATTATGTAGATAAACCAGGGTGAATTTGGGTCATATTAACAGAAATGTCGTAAAGCTAAGGATTCCTAAATTAATTGCTGAAACTATGGATATAATGGCGCTATAGTAATAGAATAATGAACTGTTATTGACACCCAGATAAGTGATTTATACAAGGCGCCTTACCCATCTCACGAGGTTGCGAGTTCGAGTCGTGTATGCTCCTTGTGTTTGTTCATTTATACACTTTTCAACTGTAAACTTTCATTGAAATGTTAAAAGATCAATTCTTTTTTATGAAACAATGAACCTAAAGGATTGTTTCTTTGTCTTGTAATCAATATCGCTGTAAAATCAAGTATAGTATAATTTTACTTGGGTAGAGGTTGACTTAATCTTTAGCTTGACCAAGTAGACTAAGTAACAGTCAGCTTGACATATCAGAAAGAGTATATAGGAACTAAGTATCGAGGATGACATTTCACTTATCTTCCATCATCAATTTGTCTAATATTGTAACACAGGTCTATTTTTGTCTTCAAGAGTCATAAAAAATGTCAAGGCAAATCAGGAACTTACGTTCAAAATTTATTCTGTGAACTTAAATATCCAACTTTCTTCTTTACATCATGCATATTTTTCATTCGCTTTTACATTTAAAAGAGGGGAATGAACACTTCAATAGTAGAAAATATTTGTGTCACTTTCTATGTGACTATGCTTTTTACATACATTTTTGAGTAAAATGAAAATTCCCAAATTTTTCCAAACACTAACAAGACAAACTATAATTCTAAAAAAGGTTAATTTTTCAACAGTTGTAACAAGCAAACATCCGAACGGAGATCAGATCCTTAAACCAAACACACCCACCTTTCCAATGGTATATTGGAACCTTAAGACAAATAGCGTCATTCATTTGACCACTGTGTTCTCTACTATTCTAGTATTTGTACTTTAACAGGAATGATTTAGGAATATGGTTTCTTGGCAGTTTAGCTTAATCACTTGTACCACAAATCACTTACTGGTAGGACAAAAATACCACAAGGGACAAATAACCAATGCAAATGAGTGGGACAACCAATATCAAGAACATATTACACCGTTGTAATTATATCATCAATATCAATGCAGTTCCTCCACTAATTATCTAATCGAAGACGGGGGATATAGAAAGCGCCTCTATATTCGTCTGTCCATCCGTCCCACAGTGCGTCCGAGGGGTCATTCATCAAGCTGTCGCAAGCACGTCGCAAGCACGTCGCAAGCCTGCGATGTCGCAAGGGCCCTTTTTAGCGATTATGTCCTATTCATCAATCTCGTGCGACTGCGATCGGTAGAATTTTCTGCGACGTCGCAGTGAAATACCCCTAAAATGGCCCAAATTTAAGCGACCGGTGGTACCCAGTCGCAGTGATTTTAGTTCAAGAAAAATGTCTTAAATTAGTTGAATTTCTTAATGAAATTATATAGAAATTCTAGGACGTATAGTTCGATATTCGATCCATGTTATATTAAAGTTGCAGAGCATATGCATTATGTTTAACATGTTTGTGATGCTACCAAAAACAGCTAGTTTTCGGCTTGTATTTTTAAGTACTTCACCGTGCGACCGGTCGCAGTGATTGTGCGTTATACGTGGTTTTGACCCACGTGGCTGTGCCCACTCAGTATCCATATTGTCAATCTTGCATGACATGTTAATCGTCTGCTGGAAGCGTTTATTCGTTCAACTGATGGTTGATTACAACCGTAATGCTCTGCGTATAGAACGCGTACTTAGAGATCGTACAGATCCTCTTCAAATAAACGATGATGTGGACCTTATTTTGCGATGTCACATGCCTAGGGTTAACTATTATAAAAGTTTACGAAATCGATACAAGAGGATCTCGAAAGGATAACTAACACGTGTACAAGCACGTCCACGTGGTAATCACTGCGACTGGTCGCATGGACATCGCAGACTGCGATTTGTTAATGAATGGGTCGCAGTCGCAGTCACTGCGACCTCGCACGGTGGTCGCAGTGTCTGCTACGTCGCAGTGATTGCGATAGCTTGATGAATGACCCCTCCGGGCGATAAGTAAAATATGTTTTGCCTTATATCGTTTGACTATGCCCAAATGGGAGTATAAATTCTATCGCAATTGTGGTTACTTATGTGTAGTGTTAATTTTATGGTATTTTTTAGAAATTGTAAACATTTTTGTATGTTGTTTTACTTTACTCCAACTGCAAAAGTGATTCTAGCAATTTTGATAAAATTGCATTTTGCCCAATAAGGCGGTCGTTTTGAGCAATGGTGGTCACGTTCAAAAGTGTCATTCTACAATAACTCGAAAAAAGAAGGATTGCAAAACTTGCAAGCATGTCACATTAATATCAATTATTACCACCTTACCGGGTCTGTTCTATATAGTGACAATATTTGCCCTTCATTTCTGCGGGCAAAATAGTGACTATATTGCCCTTCGAAATGACGTTATTGTATATGGTAATTCATCAAGCTATCGCAAGCACGTCGCAAGCCTGCGATGTCGCAAGGGCCCTTTTTAGCGATTACGTCCTACTCATCAATCTCGTGCGACTGCGATCGGTAGAATTTCCTGCGACGTCGCAGTGAAATACCCCTATAATGGCCCAAATTTAAGCGACCGGTGGTACCCAGTCGCAGTGATTTAAGTTCAAGAAAAATGTCTTAAATTAATTGAATTTCTTTATGAAATTATATGGAAATTCTAGGACGTACAGATCGATATTCGATCCATGATATATTAAAATTGCACAACATATGCATTATGTTTAACATGTTTGTGATGCTATCAAAAACAGCTAGTTTTCGGCTTGTATTTTTAAGTACTTCACCGTGCGACCGGTCGCAGTGATTGTGCGTTACACGTGGTTTGAACCCACGTGGCTGTACCCACTCAGTATCCATCAATATCATATTGTCAATCTTGCATGACGTGTTTAATCGTCTATTAGCAGCATTTATTCGTTCAAAATGGCGCAACTGAGGGTTGATTTCAACCGCAACACTCTACGTAGAGAACGCGTATTTAGAGATCGTACAGATCCTCTTCAAATATACGATGATGTGGACCTTATTTTGCGATATCGCATGCCTAGGTTAACCATTATAAAACTTTACGAAATGATACAACAGGATCTCGAAAGGATAACAAACACGTGTACAAGCACGTGCACGTGGTAATCACTGCGACTGGTCGCAGGGACATCGCAGACTGCGATTTGTTAATGAATAGGTCGCAGTCGCAGTCACTGCGACGTCGCACGGTGGTCGCAGTGTCTGCGACGTTGCAGTTATTGCGATAGCTTGATGAATGACCCCTCGGGTATTATCGATTCGTTTTGATTGAGGCCATTTTGAGAATTGATGGTTGGCATGCTTGTCTGACGTTGGCAAGGTGTTCGATGGCATCTGCCATGCCCTTTGCGTCACAGTTTTTCATCTATTTATATATAATTCGATTTAAGGGTTAGAAATTCGAGAATGTCCAGTGCAATCACTTTAGGAACAGTCTGTTCAAATATTGTATCTTACATTAAACATACATACGGTAATCTACATACACCTACAAGGATTAAAAAACACTCAACGGATATCTAAAATAATGTTTTTATAGTAATTTCTAATAAACCCTCGGGATTTTCCAATCCCATGTTGAAACTGTGTAAATCAGTTTATCTCTATGCACCTTTCATTAATAAAAATGTTTCTAGATTCAAAGTACCTTACAAAAAGTCATCAGTTTTAAAAAACAGACAAAGGAAATAACAAATAGGAATGTTTTATTAATTATTAATAGTAAAACAGGCACCAATGATCGCCTCTGAGATTTTTAAAAGCATATTTCGTTAATAATTCATGTAATGAGCTTGCATTGAAATGTTGTAGAAATTCGTGAGCTTAAATTTCAGGGTCAATTTTATCTTGTTTCATTAATACAGTTATAGGGATTTATCACTGTATGCAACCTGTTCTTAATGTTGCATTCAAACTAAATTTATTTTAATCCCTGCATCTAAGAACACACCTTGCTACTTATTTTGGGGTTTTGGAGACTTTATGTCCCAAGTTTGTCGTATTTGTATTTAACTGCCAGTTCATTCATGCATTTTCCTGTCTCATTGCAAGTGTTATCGACTGATCCAATAATGTTTTATTTTCCAGAATGTTAGCACTCAAACTAATGGAACTCCCTGATGTAAAACTAAAATTGAAAGTTCAATCATTTTGCTAATGTTACCACTGTAAATTAACTGTATAACTATTTCACATTAACTTAGATAGTTGATCATTATCAATAAATCTGCAATCAAAGTAATTGTTTTGTACATCGTCATCAACCTGTCACATTATTCTTAGTCCAGGATTATAAGGACGCGTCATTGTAAATGGATTGGCGCAATGCCTCGTATTCGCTCGTAATACTTAATAGAAAATAGTATATCGGCCATTATTTTATAGTAACAGTCATCGTTTTAAATAGGATATCACCATAAACATGCCACTCGAAGTAATATCAATTAATGAAATTGTCAGTCTAGAATTCTGGTATAGAATGCGAATTAGGCATCCTTGGTCCAATAGTATTTCACTTGTTTCCATTGAGGAATTAATGAAGCCCTTTGAATGAAGGATGGAATGAGGTTGATTTATCTCGTTAGTGCTCACAACTAAATTTAAATCTATTTAGAAAACACTTAGGATATAGGCATGGCAACTCATAATGAATCATTCCGAACATACATGACGTATTTGCTAAGGAAGCACGGACGACTAATGATATTTAGTTACATTTAGTTTATGACAAAAATTATTTTAGAAAT